GGCTAAAATATACAAAATACAATTTAAAAAGTGTACTACCAGTTCATAAAATGTATTATGTGGCTATAATATACAAAATGCAATTTAAAAAGTGTACAACAGATAATTGTGTACTAGTTGTAAAATATGGGGAGAATCAAATACAGCATTTTTATAGCTATTCTTTACCATTGGATTGTCCGGTGCAAACTGGTTTGGACAGGGTCTTTGGGTTATAGGGAGTCCTTCCTACATATTTGTAAAGATTTGTAAACATTTCCTCCCTTCGGTTGGGACCACAACATTTCTCTATGCTCGACAGTAAACCACCCTCATGCTAAAACCAGTCAACCTGTGAACTCAGGAGACTATAAGGTGCTGAATACTCTGGTGCTGAATACATGTTGCCCTTATTGTTTATTTTCCATGTAGTATTTTGTGTATATATAATGCACTGAGTCTGGATTTAGGCATGCTCGGCTTGGACTTGGAGAAAACAGACTTGCCTCCTTACCCCGTCGCAGCATTTCTAGGCCCCATAAAATGCTCAGAGACTTCAGGAGCCTTGCTGAGTATGATGAGCTGTGGGAGAGGGAGGGGTCCGAAAAACCTTAAGAATATGGCCAAAGAGCCTGGAAAACTGACAACAACAAGTATCAAAGTAGTAATGCTTAGATAAATAGGTTTTGTTTAAAAAATAATTTATGTATGTTGTTATGCATTAGGTTTTACCTCAGCCAGGTTAGTCACTCTAAACCTGTACTTCAATCAAAGTTAAAAGTTAGCCACGGATTGTTAGGTCCCATGGATAGTGAAACCTTGAACCATTAATATGGACTTTTAAAATCTGTTGGACAAAACTTTTTCTTCAGTTCACACAATAAATGAACCGTTGGACCATTTCCAAGTATGGGCAGGGAGATATTACTGGGTTCCTTACTATGCAAACTTGGAAAATGTCCAACTTTTCAGGCAATGGACCGTTGTGTGAACTGAAGGAAGAAACGATATTCTGTCCTTTGAGTATAAGAAGCTTGCTTTTTATGTTGAACACTAAGTATGCTCATTAGAAAGAAACATCTAGTTAAATAAAACTAGAAATAGATTGTGTGTATATAATTTTGGAAAATACGATTGCAGTTGATTCTGCTATTATTTAGTAAGGAAATACTGGGACCTCAGACAAAGCACCCCAGTGTGAAGTGCTTCAGAGCAGAGTTCAAGCTAGTCAGCTATACCATCTGACACTCTGTTCTGTTGCCTCTGTTTTCTAATGCCCTGTCCTCTGCCACCCACCAGCAGGCATTCAGTCTCCAGTGGCCAGTGAGCATACTTAGTTCTCACTGAGTTGTTTCTTGTTGGGAGGGATTTCTTTTTCAGCCCCCCCCCGACCCGCATGGTGGTAGAGGTACCTCTGCAGTTCACAGGCCAGAACTAGATGCTACATTAATCCTGCATCTGGGAAGCAGTGTTCTCAAGAATTCTGAAATATCTGATTGTAAAGGCACATTAATTTTCGCAGCTATTCATCTTGCATTTCCCCAGCTTTGTTTTAGCCATATGAGCCTGAAATCCCATGTCTCAGTTCCACACCAGAGAGAGAAACAACAGAGTTAGAAAGCATATGTACCTTTATAAGTGCCCACACTGTGCATTTATTTTTGTATTTTTAAAAAGAGAAATTCCTCTACTGCTGCTCAGAGGGAATAAAAGCATGTTCTGCAGAGAATGTTGGAAAGTGTGAATAAAAAATCAACTCTACAAGAAGAGTGCTGTCTCAACACAGATCGCTTTATTAAAATTAAGATATCTATTTGCAAATAGGGTGCATATGGCAACAGGAGCCTCAGTGTCTCCCATGCCATAAGGCAGTTTAATCATATAAAGTTTAGCATTTTATAGCTTTGATACCAACTTACTGATGCACTTTGGAGTTTTCATTGTTCCAGGAGTATGGTACAACACTGACATTGAAGTTAACGCTTGCCCAGTATCATGCAATGGTTCCTCTATTTCAGTACATTTTTTATCACATGGTATCTATCCCCAGCTGTTGTCCTTGACCTTTGTAAGGCAGACAGCCCTGAATAAAAGTTGCATGATGTCTCAGGCCTGCATATTATTTCCATCTAATCTTGTTGTTTTCATCCTATATTTTTATTCACAAAAAAAGGACAGGTAAATTTAGATTCCACCAACAACTCCCACCCCATTCTTGGCTAGAGTATAGGGTTTCCATCACAGCAGTAGAGAGGGAAGTTGCTGTAGTTAAATGCTCTAAGAACAGGAAATACAATGTTTACTCAAAATCCCTTTCTATCTTCAATGTCCTCATTTTGGCTGCATGCTTGTTGGCTGTTAAAGAGAGTGACGGTATTAAGAATAATCATAGTATGCCATCAACTCAATTCTGACTAATGGCATCCTTTTTCAGGATTTTCTAGGTGCAGAGTACTCAGAAATGGTTTACCATTCCTTTCTTCTGGGCCACAGTGGGGAATCAAACTCTTAACCTCTGGCTCTGCAGCCAGATACCTAACTCACTGAGTTGTCCAGGTGACTAATTTACAGTAATACTCATATGCAATCTCAATATTTGAATAGCTTGACTTGGAAATATAAAAGAACCATAATATTTGCAGAAGGATATGAAACTTCATTCCCTTGAGATGAAAAGTTCTTAAGAATTTTAGATAATCTTTCATCTTCTTTTCAAAACTTAGCAGAGTCAGACTTCTCATTTCCAATCTGTGGTACATGTCATCTACCACAGTGGGTAGAGGAGTGAAAGCCCAGAAGAAATGGGTACAGATATTATGTAATCCAATAGTGTATGGAGTTGCAATACCTTTTCAACAGCCTTCCAACAGATAGTAAATTTGAGATATGTCTGTAGATGGTAAAATCTCTTGGATTAAAGGCAGGTATCTGAAATAAATATTTTATTGCATCATGCCTTATGCAGGACTGGACAGACCCTTCCCATAAGGAGCTATTAACCACAATATTTGTTTCACCTTGGCACATTTGGATCAGCCAGAAAGAGCAAGTGCCAAATGGGAGTCCTCACAGTTCCAGATCCTCTGTGTCCTAGGGATGTATAAATTGATGAAAATTTCAATCTCCCAAAGAAGAAGTTTTGATTAATTGCATTTTTAGCAAGCAGAGCATGAAGTACAAAAAAAGGCTCCAGTTTAGGGGAAATGTGAAAGAGAACAGCTAAAAATATCTTCTCCTACACAGCCGTTTTGTTCACAAAAATTTACTAGCCCTTTGCATATAAAAATCACTCTACAAGTAACTTAAGTAGAAAAAAATTTACCGTTGATGTTCAGTTACAATCAGAAGAGTAAACAGGACAAAAGAAAAAAATTGCAGCCTCAGCCATGTGGGAGGCTGAATTTACCATGCTGGCCACAGAGTCAGAAGTCAGGAGCAGAGAGTTTATATGTTTGCTCTGGTCTGTGGTCAAAGACAAGAGAGTGCGTAAACAGTCAGATGGGGGGGTAGGAGCTTGCCTCAAACCTTGGGGGAAAGGACTTTGCTAATTGCTTAGTGGCAGAAAACAGTTACCTTAGTTTGGGGGGGGGGACTCCCTCTCACTAAAATCCGGCACCAGGCTGCATGGAAGATTGTTACCTTGCCAACAAAGAGAAAAACGTTACTTTCACAACAACCTGTGAAATAGGATAAACCAAGGTATATTTATTTGTTCAGGCCCTGTTAATAAGCTAATGAGGGATTTCAACCTGGATTTTTCACATTCTGCCCCTGTCCCCATGAGATACCCAATGTGATGTAGTGCACTGGTTCTTAACATTGGGTTACTCAGGAGTTTTGGACTGCAACTCCCAGAATCCTTCACCACCAACTGTGCTGCCTGGGGTTTCTGGGAGTTGTAGTTCAAAAACATCTGAGTAACAAAGGTTAAGAACCACTGATGTAGTGGATAGAGTGATGGATCAAGACTAGAGATGAGGGTGTTTGTATTTGAATACCGCCGCACAGCTGAAGTTAACAAGGGCCTCGCCCCTGGGACCAGACTATTCACCCACACGTCCGCAGTCACCGCTGGCCCCGCTCTTCCAATCATGCCAGAGCACCTGGTCAGCTAGCCAATCATCAGCCTTGCAGGTAGACTGATCTTCCTTCTGCCAGGACTGGCTAGCCAACTGGGTGCTCTGAAGCAATTGGAAGGGAGGGGCTGGTAGTGGCAGACTAGGGGGCTGGACTCTCATTAACTCCAGTTGTGTAGTGGTATTTGTATACAAGTATGAATACCCCCATATTTAACCTAGACTCAAGAAGCCTGGGTTCGAATCCTCACTCAGGAATGGAAACTCACTGGGGGTATGAAACTGGTAGAACCAATCCCTAAATATCTCATTTAAAAGCTCTATTAGGATTGTTATAAGTTGGTTCTGACTTAACAGCACATAAGAACAATTCCTGTTCAGATAAAACATGTGCAAATCTTCCTGAGACAAGATACTGTTTGATCTGGAAACTTTCACTGAAAACAAGATAAATTCCAGCTGTAGTAGCTATTCTCATCTGTTGTGTGATGCTCCCTTTCTTGTTTGTTTGCTTGCTTCATTGTTACAGATGTTAAGGTGTGGCTGAATTGTTTCAAACTGAAGGAAAAAAGTGCTTTGATGCTGTTGCAGAAGTGGATCTTAATAGACAGCGAGCTCTGCCTGTTTTGCCATTAGTACATGGCATACTTGGATGGATGAAATGCCTCTTCACTCAGATAACATAATGTTCATAATTCTGAGCCACAAGTTCTTTCCCCATTGGTTTAACAGACAGAGAAATAATTGTGTTTATGATTATGAGAAATTCAGTAGCAAAGATGCCTGAAACAAAGATGCATAAAAGGGCTGCTGACTTGTCCAATATATAGTTGGGCTACTTAAATTGTCTCAGCTACAAGGGAGACTAAGCAGCTTGACTGATTGCAAGCAAGGTTTTGATACAAATGAACAGGTTACTGTAATGTAATAGATTTTTATTTTCAGATTATAAAGTACATGGAATCACAGTTGAAACAGACAACCAACGTGTGACAGCAAGAGAATTTGAAGGTATGGTATATGTGTGAGTGTTCATATATGCATAATGGTGCAGAGAAGTTAAAAATAACTATTGGACAAAAGTATAATAGGATGTCAAAAGTGAAAGGTATGTGCAGTTTCTGTGCCCCACTGATTTTAATAACAGAAACTTAAGCACATGATTAAACCCACAAAGGCAAAACATTAGCATTTCATTGTACAACTTTGGCTACAGGCAAAACACAACTATATATAGATTAGAGTGGGATGGGCATTGGGGGATAACATTCTTGTTTCTTCCACTTTATCCTTCTTCATCCAGAATTGATCATCTGTTTTTTTCAGTCCCATCCTCAATATGTGCAGCTCTCTCAGTTCTCCTTGTAATTTGTTATCTAGTTACTTTCTAGGATTTTACACTGATTTTTGTTGTTGTTATGTGCCATCAAATTGTCTGTGACTTATGGTGACCCCATGAATGAGAGAGCTCCAAAATTTCCTGTCCTCAACAACCCTGCTCAGTTCTTGTAAACTAAAGCCTCTAGCTTCCTTGATGGAGTCCATCCATCTCTTTTTTTGGTCTTCCTATTTTTTTCCTGCTGCCTTCCACCTTATCCATCTTCCTTGATGGAGTCCATCCATCTTTTTTTTTTTTTTGGTCTTCCTTTTTTTCCTGCTGCCTTCCACCTTATCCAGCATTACTGTCTTTTCCAGAGAATCCTACCTTCTCATTATGTGTCCAAAGTAAGAGCTTTTGTCATTTTTTACTTCCATAGATATCTCAGGCTTGATTTGCTGTATCTCAGGCTTGACTTGTCCGTCTTTCTGGCAGTCCAGGGTATCCAGAAAGCTTTCTCCATGGCAATATTCAAATCAAATGAATCAGTTTTTCTCCTGTCAGCCTTCTACACTGTCCATTTTGCATACCTATGCATACATAGTGATTAGGAATACAAGAGTATAGATGACCTTGGTCTTGATCTCCAGTGACACATCCTTACACTTCATGATATTTTCTAATTCCTTCATTGCTACCCTTCTGAGTTTGTCTTCTGATTTCTTGGCTGAATTTTCCATTTGGACTGATGATTAAACCAAGGTATAAAAAGTATTTAACTATTTCTTCATTGTATACATGAATGTGTAATTCTTTAATAGTCATGATTTTTGTAATCTTAAGAAGCAGTCCTGCTTTCATACTTCAAGTCATTGCTGCTTTGGTTTCATTTGTATATCTTAAATTATTGACGTTTCTTCCACTAATTTTAACTTATTCTTCATCTGAATCTAGTCCATCTTTCTGTATGATGTGTTCTACATTTATATAGAACATATAGAGAGATAAAATGCACCCTTGTCTGACACCTTTGCCTATAGGAAACCGTTCTGTCTTTCCATATTCTGCCCTAATGGTAGCTTCTTGTCTAGAATATAGTTTAGGCAATAGGATAATCAAGTGCTGAGGTACATCCATTTCTTTCAGAAATTTCTTCTGGAATGGATTAATCGTGTTACAATGCATTTCAATGGGAAATGGAAACAACCATTTCGAGTTATGTCCATCTTCTGGAACGAATTATGGCCGTAAGTCGAGGCACCACTGTACAATGCCCCTTTTGAATTTCTTTCCTCATGAAGATCTGGTAGTAAACATGAGCATAGGGGTGAGATGATGGTTATTATTTATTTTGTGTCCTTGATGGTCATTTTTGTCCATATTAGTATCTGCATGTTTTTTTCTTTTGTTGTTGTTAATGCAATACTGTGAACTCAAGGTTGGTTCTCATTTTACATTTTCTATCCCACTGTGGACATCTTTGTGTAAAATGAGGAGGAAATTTTCATCCAACAGAAGTTTTGGACCTCCAACTCACGTAATAGCTTGTTATTGACCATGCTGGTGGAGCTATAGGGAAGTGAAGTTGAAATTGCATGAAGGACCACATATTCCTCATCTGTGGTACAAATTATTTGTACTACCCATGCTGTCTGAAAGATCCAATCAGCTAAGGCAACTGGAAACAATAATTAAGATGGACTGGACCCATGTATCTTAAAGGAGCACCAACTGAATTCTGACTGCTTGTATGCTTCTGGTATGGTAAGAATCACATATGTTTAGGATAGCCACTTTCACATCACTAACAGAGAGATGAATCTCCTTCCCTCAAAAAGGGCAAAAGAGGACAATAATTTGAATAAAATTGCATTTGCTAATGCTGTATATACAAATAGCAAAACTAGACATTTTTTAAAAATACAATTTAAACCAAATTACAATGCAATTCACTGTCCAGGTGACCTTTGTGTCTGCCAAGTCTGCAATCCAAGTGCTAAATATAGATGGAAAATTTCAGTGTCTTTGATGTTCATCTTTATAGTTCTTTACCGTCAAACAAGAGGACACCCTGTAAAAGAGGGCTGTCTTCTTGTAGCCCTTAATGTAGAGACCTGTCCTCTGTAAAGAGACTTAATGTATTTTGTATTCAGATATCTGTATATAAGTAGAACATGTAGAGTGAGAATTGGCCTTCAGAATCATTCTACTGAAATCAGCTCTGAAAATGTGTCAGTTGAATTGTGTAATCCAAATCTGTGCCAACAGAGCAGCAGCAATTAGCTGTTGTTGTTTTTCCCTTGCAGGGGCATATTTAAACTGCAGACACAATGCAAAGAAGCAAAGTAATGCAAGAATAGAATGGAAAAAAGTTACAGGTTCTGATGTTTCATTTGTTTACTTTCAAGACTCATTTGTAGGTAAGATGGTTCTGTGTCTCTGCTTATGTGTGTATGTTGCTGATGATCTGTTTCTTCCATGTGGATTGTTTTAAGCTGTTCAGGAACAAAGTGAAAAGACATTGTATGTGTGTTGTAAATGGAATGATACATTTATTGTTACCTCAGTATCCAAACTTTTCCCAGGAGTGCAGCTCACAATATGATAAATTATAATATACTAGGATAGCAATGCCAGGGATAACAATATATCCAAAGATATAACAGCACATTTAGTAATTTAAGAGGGTCTCCTGGACTGAGCCTGCACCTGCTAATGATTCTGCTATTTATATGGTGGTTATAACCACCAAATGGTTATAAGTAATGCCAGGTTTTCATGTTATCTCTTCCATAGAAATGAATGGAGTCATGCTTTTCCTTCTTCACTGCTTTTTTTTTGTCATGGATATTATTGACTGATACTTCCGTAGTACCTCCCAATCCTGCCATCATCTGAAAGCCCAGAATTTCTGCTTTAGTCTTTTATTAAAGTCAACAGATTATCAATTATGATGTGAAAAGTGTGGTTTTCTGAGCCAGAAAGAGTTAATTTTTGGTTGGTGTTGCAATGTATTTTGCAGGAAGAACCTTTGAGGAGCACACCAACACCCCATGGGAGACAGATTTATCAGTAGCACCTTTTAATATGCATAATCTGCCAGAGGGAAATGTAAATGGCAAGTCCTTTTCAGTGTGTATTGTTTTGTCAGGTTAACTCAGCTAATGTCTGAACCTCCTGCCCCACCAGGAGTCCTACAGAATTTCATAGACCGGGGGGGGGGCGGATTAGAAGTCTGTGCTTATCACAGCTGGCATTTATCTAAGTAAAGAGTTAGTTCCAGAATGAAATTAAACAATCTATGACAATCAAATTAAAATTAATCTGAATATCAAAGTATAAATCTTTCCATTGTTGCATTAATTTTAGGCAACATCAGTTTGTCTAATTCTACAACTATTATTTATCTACATTGTTTATATGTTCCTTATGTACAAAATACTCCAGTGTTGTAAAATTCAAAAGCCTTACAGTGAGAAAACTGTAGGCAGAAATACTAGAAAAATGCTTCCTTGCGACTTGTAAGAAGATGTAAGTGTTAAAACTTAAGTTATAAGTAGAATTTAAGTCATATTTGAATAATAAAATTCAGGCACATAAATAAATAAAATATCAAAAATAATGTTTTAAGTTGCATTCCAAAATGCAAGAGTTTAAAGCTTGTAAAAGCACATTTGAAAATGGAAAGATAGAGAATCCTTCTAAAACTGGTCAGGAAAAGTAGGTCTATCTTTTACAGCAAGTTCAAGGTGTGTGTTTATTTCTGGAGTAGTTCTTTATTATCCTTAAAGGCAAACTTCCTTTTAATAGCATTGTTGTTTCTGCGTTTCTGTATTTCAAAAAGCTGAGAAATTCCTCCAAAAAAGCTCACTGTAAAGATTAAAGTTAATATTAAAGCTATACTTCAAAAAAGAAAGAAAGAAAGAAATCCAGACCACCAATCAACCCCACACTATCTTCCCTCAAAACATGGGAACATTAATGCACTCTTCTTGTACCTTAATTGCAGCCCAGATAAATACAACTCCATTCTTTATTTTTCTAAAGAGAAGCCTATGTTGACCTAGAACTAAGTCCATTAAATGAAACAAGACTTCATGTCTTCAAGTATGGTACAACTGGACTGGAGAAAAAAAGATATGACTGTAGCTAGGTCTGTTCTGCAAATCTGGTGTTTGTAGATGTTGACACTATTGAAACGTGTGACTGTTCAATTCAGCTCTTCCACATCACTAGTAATATACAGTACTTTATAGGAAATGGAGTAATGTACATGCAAATTTTTCTCTCTCTCTTTTGGGAATTATAGGATTTGTAATCCAACACATTTAAAGGGCACCAGGTTGGGGAAGACAGCTAGCTGAGTGGGCGGATATTCAAAAGAAAGTATTTTGTCTTTGTTTAATTTTGTGTGATTGGAATAGGAAGGGCGGATCAGTACTATATGCTGTTAAGATGTGCCACTTTTATCTGATTTTATTTATATATTTGGACTCCAAACTAGAATCTATCTCCAAAGAGTTCTTTTTCTAGCAATTTCCCTCTGTGTTTATTTGTTTATCTAACAGGCAATTTCAAAGGTCGAGCAGAAATCCTGCATTCAAGCATCCAGATCCGCAATGTGACAAGAAAGGATTCTGGAAAATATCGTTGTGAAATAAGTGCACCTTCTGAACATGGACAAGAAGCAGGAGAAATTGAAATCTCTCTCATAGTGTTTGGTAGGAGTCTAAACACAATTATTTGAGATTTAAACTGAATTTAATTGAAAAAGATATGTAGTAACAGCAGCTATATATTCTTTTAAAATTAATGTACCTTCTGAACAATATTGTTATAATACTTTATGTAAAAATGTACAAATCATTTGAAATTGCATTTGATTTTATATTACTATGTTTCTGTCTTAAATTGCTTTATACTGTTGATATTTCATTTGTATCTGTGACAGATAAAATTGACACAGAAGACTCTTGTGGGAGTAGCATTTTGTCTCTAGCCAGCAAAGGAGTATAAAAAATCTGCAGTTTCATTGTTTAATGGCATGTAAGAACTAATTTCACTCCCACTGCCCACTTATATTAAAACTTTGGTGGGACTATACCAAGGATGAGTGCACTGTATATACAAAATGTGATACACAGACCATGTGATCCAAGTAACTTTATTGGGGCAGCATGTGAACATATAAGAAGGCTTAGGCATATAGATATCCCCCTTACATAGATGATGCCATTTTCTAGTTCAACCAGCTGCTCCAATTTGTGAAGTACCCATCTCAGCTATGAGTGGGACAGTAGTAGAACTACGATGTAAAGAAAATGAAGGTGTTCCTGCTTCGAAGTACAGATGGTATAGGAATGGCGTTCTTCTACTAGAGAACCCAACATCGTGGATGGCTAAAAAAGACAGAGTTCACTATACTATGAATACCACATCTGGAACTTTGGTAAGTTAACACCTGTTCAATAATAGTTCACATTAGTTCTTTTTTCATCCATAAAAAGACTAAAGTTGTATTTTAGTACCAATAAGAAGATTCAAACTAGTTTCATTCAATATAATATAACTTATATTGAAATATAATAAAGAGGACAAGCAGTTTTCCCACTGGTGAATTTATTCTTACTCTGCTTATTTAAAACTTAATACTGATATATAAGCTTTACCAATAGAATTAAAATATAAAAAGGTAAAGGTTCCCCTTGACATTTTTAGTCCAGTCGTGTCCAATTCTAGGGGGCTGCACTCATCCCGCTTTTCAAGCTGTAGAGCCAGCACCTGTCCAAAGACAGTTTCCGTTTTCACGTGGCCAGCGTGACTAGGGAACGCCGTTTTCCCTTTCCACCGAGATGGTACCTATTTATCTACTCGCATTTACATGCTTTCGAACTGCTAGGTTGGCGAGGAGCTGGGACAAAGCGACGGGAGCTCACTCCGTTGCGTGGATTCAATCTTATGACTGCTGGTCCTCTGACCCTGCAGCACAGGCTTCTGCAGTTTCAAATTGGCCCTGACCTTCATTCCTTTGGGGATACAGCAGTACAATGTTTAGAAAAAGGTTTGGTGCACAAATTCAGGTTGATAATAATGTTAGCCAGAAAGATGCCATCTGATAAGAATTTGACATTACTAATCAAGAATGAATTGTAATCTGAACTGAATAAAAAGGAGCCAACCTCAGGTTCAGTAATTATTTAGATTAGTTCTTAATTTTTATATTATAAATTTGGATTTCCTGGTTTGTAACATTTAATCTGAGAAGCATTAAACGCTAGTTTTAATCACATGGTATGTCCTATTCTTCATTTTCACAAATAATAATGATAGTAAAAATAACTACTGAAGCATTATTTTTGTCATTTTATCTTCACATACAGTACTTAGCAGATGTTTTAAAAAATCAGATTTATACATGAGAAAAGTTTATGCATTTCTGAAAAGCATATCACAGTCATTGTTGCTTCTTCTAAGCACTTAATTGAGAGAGCCAAACTAGCTAGTGATATCTGCCATAAAACAAAGCTATTTTTTCATCCATCTCTGGGAGAAAATGTTCAAAAACAAAAATTTACTTGCCCATATTTAGTGAATAGATCTGTCATATATTTTGGGCATTTCCACCTTATTAAACAAAGCCTAGTTCTTAGAGTTTATTAGGAATAGTAACATCTTAATTTTGTTCAGACTTTCCTGGCAAAAACGTATTCACCATGTTTCAGATGAGATTTCATGCAGCTCAACCAAACTACATTCTTGAGACACATTCTAAAGCACTCACAGTAATAGTAATAAAACTTGCAAGGCAATGCTTTGGAAATGTACTCCTTTTGACTCTGCATTCACAAGCTTTTTAACAGATAGCATGTCTTCTTTTTACTAGCTGTTCAATCCTGTTTCAAAGAATGACACCGGAGAATATTACTGTGAAGCTGACAACAAAATTGGAAAGCCTCAGAAATGTCCTGTGAAGCGAATGCAAGTTGGTAAATGTCAGACACAAATAAGCTTCCAAATGGAAATGTCTTCATTATAAGACAAAGCTGAGAAACAAGAAGGAAAATAAACTGGAATTTTGGAAGATAATCTATTTAGTTCATCTTCCAGAATGTAACTCAGTGATGCAATATTTTAAAAATCAGTGTTCTAAGCAAAAGTTCAGTTCACATTTTGCATCTTCAGAATGACTCACTGGATCTCCACAAATGTTAGTGATGGAACAAGTAATATCTGTAACACTAGGTTCATATTAAATAAGTTAACTTATGCTTGGATAAGAGGTCTATCAAGACATCAGCTTTCTCCATTTTAATATGCAGAAACCACATTTCTTTATCCATGTGTGCATCTATGAATCAAGAATGATCATTCATCTAGGAACATCTAGTATCAGAGTCCACCACACATTCTTGTCTAGAAGTGGGACAGTTATCTTCCGATATCTCTCAAAGAAGTGATAGCTGGGGCCAAATGCTTTTATAAGATAAAGAAGTATACAGTGGAAGTGAATATGTCACTAACTTAGTTCTCTATCAGAACCTCCAATACAAAATTAACAACACTGGTCATTCCCACATAATATTTGATTTGTTTTGAATTTTAGATGACCTTAATATAAGTGGCATCACTGCTGCTGTGGTCATTGTGGCTTTGATAATAGCTTCCTGTGGTCTTGGGGTATATTATGCACAAAACAAGGGCTACTTTTCAAGTAAGTAAAACTTTATGCTTCCATAATTAGTGTTTCTACATACCCTGCAGATATTAGCTGTAATACAGAAGTGCCTCCTTTATATTTGTATAATACCTCAAATCTGTTATAGTCCTGAAAAAGTAAATCAGCAAATTTAGCTATTTCAAAAGCTGAATTTCATTTCAAAGTTGAAGTGCCATATTTGTTACAATTTATAAGATGATTTGGTCCAATCCATGGTCAGATGGAGGCTTTGCTCTAGAGTCCTTGTAGAATTTTATCTCCTAGCCTCCTCTGCTGGATCATAATGAAAGTACATATTCCCCAAATAATACTAGGCAATAAGGAATCAGATGTGGCCTGGCTGAATTATTAACTGTAAGGCAGCACCATTATTTTTTGTGGGACCAATGAATAAAGTCTAGATTATTTAGTCCTGTTAAATGTAACTCCTCACACTCTGTTGGCATAATTGTGGTACTTGTTTTATCTAATTAGATACAAACCTTCCTGGACTCCACTAACCACTTAAGAATTTCTAGAAAGGTTGCTCATTATTCTTAATATTTTATTTGGTTTGGATAAAGATGCTACCTTACTATGGATTTTTCTAATGGACCAAAATTATTTTCCTGTTTTTTCAGTAATATATTTAGCATACAGTACAGAATATGTGCTTTAGCTTGCCAGAGCAAATGCACATGGTATAAATCATTTCAAATTATTCAAAAAAGTATGCTGAGGAAAACTGCATCATCTGCAGGAGGGCTACCCCAAATATATTGTTTCCCAGATTCTTTCCCATTAAAAGGCTTTGATCACTGACCAGTGTCAAACTGATGGAAACCAAAATTTCTTTCCTAGAACCCACTGGTTTTCTTTTCTTTGTTTGTTTGGGGTTTTTTTTTGTTTTTGTTTTTGGGTCCCTGATTGTTAGCAGGGCAGAGTTTAGCACTATGGCAACTTCCTCACTGGAAATTTACAAAGCATTTCTTAAAGTGCAAAAAACAAGCAATTAAGCAAATAGCTCTAAAACAGAAGCTGTAGCACTGAATTGATTTTCCCCTTTGAATATTTTAATATGTTATTTGGAACTAGCAGATCAGAAGTCAATAGAAGTTCATTGTGTGGTGATACATCTGTTCTAACAAACTGAACACCTTGTGGATAGGCAGCATGAAGTTTGGTAACAATGTAATGCATCTTCCCTTCTCCCCTCTCTTTGCAGAAAGAAATTCTTCAGTGTAAGTACTTTTTCTGTCTCCTGCTTCTGTACTGAAAAATTAATTATAGTGTGGCTCCACTCTACTGCTTGAAGAAAATAAGTTTGGGGGAAAAACCCACAACTCCTGCACAAATGTTTCACCTGTTAGACAATAGTTACTGTGGCTTCAGCTGGCAAACTAAGATTGCCAGTTCTCCTAATCTGTTGATAATAAATTCTTAGAAGCACAAAGAGGCTTTGTAGAATTTTACATATTATATTTCTCATTATAAATCTTACTGTAATTCAATTAATGCAGGCTTCTTGATATATTACTGCAGTTATAACTGCACAAAATGAATTTCAACTAATTTTAAGTACCTTATTTAGAAATGTAAGTTGATTAACTTCATTCACACAGGCAACTTCAGTTGTATATATAGTCCAAGTACTGAATCACATCTGTAATGATGTGATGTGTGGTAATGTGTGGTTTTACTTCAAAACAAATTTATTTGAAAAGGCAAAGTTATCTACAAATAAAATGTCTGTAGAATTCTTGATGGTTTACCTAGAACTACCCAGGTGTAACAGTATACTTTCAAACGTTTGTTTCACTAGCAGGGAGAAGATGTCTAAGTACAAAACTAAAGCATATGAAAAGGTGAGTATTCCATGTCCGTGTGTAAGTAGTAAGGTCAGTTTTCTTGTTGTTCTTGCTTTAGGAGAAAGTGAAAAACCACAAAACTGCCATGAATATATAAAGAAACATCTGTAAACGCCCACAGCAACTAAGATATGTGTTTCATTGCCAACCAAGTCACAAGACATTTCTTACTGGACTAGACTGTTTCAGATCTATAATGAGATGTGGGGGAGGAGATTAATTTTGAAAGCCCCCCTTTGCCAAAAGTTTTCCCTTCCCATGAAACAACGTTCTTGAAATGTCGGGAAGTATTAGACTAGAACCTTTTGCATTTTAAGTTTGGATATAGATAGTTGTATACATGTAGAAAGTTGAATAGTTTCCATGTAAATTTCCAGTTACTGGTGGAAGAATAAATATAAACTGCATCTCATGATTTCTGTTTTATACCAGGTGTTAGTTCCTGCATATGTTACTTTTGCACAATGCAGCAGTTGCTAGATTCCAGCAGCATTACATACATATTTTCATTACTGTACATACTGAACATGAGAGGCAGACATTTGGAAGAGACATCTTAGTCAAGGACTAATCAGGGACAATTCCATATCCAGTCTTGCCTAGTTTACTTATTAGAAATAGCCCTTTTCACTTATGTCTACTGATTCATACAGACATAGACACAGGCAAGAGAATGATATGCCATACATGTAGCCACCCTGTTTATATTGGACCTAGAAATCTAATTTTTTTTCACTTCAAAGAATTGTCTTTCACATAAACACAAAGCAAAAGTTCACTGTGATCCAGTCTTTACATAGATTCACCCTAAAGCTTTTTCTACCATCATAGTATCTTTAAGTGCTGTGTTGCAGTTGGTTTGGGGTACAGTCCAGTTCACGCTAAGGCTTCTCTTGTTCAAGTGTGATTTTATGAAGCAAGGTGGAATATTTGATATAAATGTGTAAATCAGCTTTGCAACTCCCAAATGAATGTAAACTGAGGGCTGGATAGCATTTCAATATGACAGAATCCTTTGCTTGTTGGAAAAAAAGCAATGGTGGATTCAACCACAATACAATGAGCAAGAGTATTCACCACAGAAAGCTCAGTGAATTAATTAATGGTATTGAAGCTGTCCCCAGGTCACCATGAAATAAGTTTAGTTTGCATCAACAGTTACACACCAATGGCCACCACCCTGTTTGGTAGCTCTTGACTGAAATAGGAATGATTTCATCATTAGTGACAGATGCCATGAATTAAAGATTCCCTTTTCGTTTTGAGGTGAGCATGCATTTGGCTCATTGGCTGTGAGTTATGAACACCCAAAATTGTAAAAATGTTGTGCAAAGTTTAATCAGTGGCAATCTGACAATGACATCTTTCCCATTACACAGGCAGAGCTTTGCAACAGGATACTGGCCAATAGCTGTAAGGCTTCTGTAGTTCCTATGCTTACAGGATCAAAAGAAATCTGGGTGCACAGTGCACTGGAGGGTTCTTTCTTTTTTGAAGTGACAGAATGAAAAGATATCTTAATTCAACTGTATGCACCTTTTAAGTACTATGGAGTACTTCATTCTTCATTCATTGTTTCAGTTATTTTACTGACAGTAGAATAAGTTTTTATTGAAAACCTCTGGACAATTTTAACTGTTACTCTTTCTGCCTTTTTCATTTTCCCCTTCTCAGGATTTCAAGCATACAAAGTCATTTGTTATTTAAAGGAAATATCTTATTGGAGAGTCACCAAATGACCATTTGATGCCCAGAAAATGATGAAAGAAATGCTTAAACTCTTTTCTGTAAATATGAAGAGTGATGCACACAAAAAGCCAACAGCACTGCAAGGCACTGCTACAAGTTGACATAAAATTGTCAACAACTGTTTCAACATGGCTTGACAATTTCTAATGAAAAGGTGGTAGGAAGAACACACCAATGTACGGTTTGTCTGGTAGTGTAATGTACTCAATGAGAGCACTAAGCAAGGAGAACTGATGAACTAACTGAACTGTTTCCATATTACTGTATTATTACTATTATATTTTATGGGGAAAAGGTTCTGTGGTGCCAACAAAGGTGGAAAATAGGACTGGTTCATCTTTAAAAAAATTTTTTTTAAATGGTTTGGGCACTTTCTAAATTGGGGAAAAAAGAAGAATGGGGGCACAGCCAAGCTTTATTATAACACATTTGGCATGGAAAAAGTAGACGTAGGAAAGGCTTTTTAAAAATCTATTATAACATTAGAACATAAATTAATGGAAATAGCTCTCATGCCCCCATAAAATGAGGTAACCCACTAGCACAGATTGCTTAAATGGAAATGTGGATGACAGGGCTGTCAGTGATTATTAGTATGATAGCATTGAAATCCATTTTAGGGACCACATGCTTCCAGATATCTGTTGCTGAGTAGTAGCAGCAGACTTCCAGTGGGCAACTTTGGAAACAATATTGGATTACAGAGGCCTTTGGGCAGATCCAGGCCTCTGATCACCTGATTTTGTCAGTGTCATGTACTATACTCCCATACTGAGGTTGGGATTTGGCTTTGTTTTAGAGAGAGCTTGTTCTTTTTTCCATTGTCAAGAATAAAATAGGACAAAACTATTACCAATATTGGTGAGGAAAGAGAGGGAACTCCAACCAGCCACCTTCTGTGAATGGCTGAGTTGTGCGCTGTCTGCTGTTAGCGCCGTGTGGGTGGAGGAGCCGTGACGTCTTCACCTGGACATTGCTCTCTGCTTAGCTCATATTTGGCCTAGTGGCTGGCCATTTGTGGAAAGCCTGCTTTTTTGCCTACTGCCAAGAGCACCAGAATCACGGCTGGCAGATTAGGCACAAGAATGAATATCTGAATCATATGTGAATGCCTGACCCTAGCAAGATGTAAACTTTATTTAAACATGTTTGAAAACAAATTTGAAAGGTAGGTTTTTGTTTATAATTACTCTGTGACATTCCAGATTTTCTGTTCACAAGTTGGATCAGAAAATGACTATTTGTTTAAGTGCCTTGAGATTGTCTAATCATTTATCAGTGATCAAATATGCAGGTATATGTTTGCTGAAATGTGATGTGTCTTTACCACTGTTCATTTAAAAAATAAGTCTTGCTCTAAAAACCTTGCATTTTATGGTTGTTGTTGGTTTTGTTTGTTTCACATGCTGCTGAGTGTCTTTAAAATATTTAATAATGGCTGAAATCCTGTTGCTTAATGTAGTAATTTGCAATCAGATCAGACACTGAATGATTGGAATATATGGAGAAGTTGACTCACTAAATCCCCTTAATGGGCCTACATACAGCTGACTACATTAAGCAAAAGGATTTCAACCACTTTCATCAATTACTTTGTTCTGTGATTGATGCAATTGCAATGCTCTGCCATTGGCAGGTTTTTGGCACAATTACACTTTATCCCCACCTTCAGACTGTCACTGTTCAACATCTGGAGGGTTTTGAATTGCCTATTTCATATGTTACAAGGCAATATAGTGTTTTTTCCTAGAGTGATCTTCCTATCCCAATGGGCTGGATAGGGTCTCCCTCTTCCCTTCCCAGAATGATACAGGAAAATGAGACACTAGTCAAACCAACTGAATTTATTAACGTGAAAGGTAATTTGTTGGCAACAACTTGCAACAGTTCAGAATTAACATTTCATTCCTTTGAGTCAACAGTCCCGTCTCTTTTTACAGTCCATTCTTTAGTCTCCATCTCTTCACTGATTCTCCAGTCTTGTATTCCTGGGCTTGTTGGAGTGATTGGTGGCATTTGGCCAGACATGGCTTCCCCACTCAGACCAGTCTGCAATACTTTCCTCATTTCTCCCCTGACTACCTTGGAAGGAGGAGTCAGGGTACCCATCTCTCAGGTATAGCACCAGGGTCCTTCCTTCAAAGTATCTCCTCAGACTTTGAATTCTCCAACATTGCTCCCACAATGCAAAGATATAGGGCACAGTTTGTGACTCCTCTACCTGCTTCTTCCTTAGGGATTCTAAACTGCACCAGTCCATGGATCCTCTTTGGTCACAAATTTCCATCCCCCAGTTAAGATGGGTCTCTACCTCCCCAGATAGGTATCTTCACCTTGATATTTCATCACATTCTGCCAGATGTCCCTTTCTCCTGCTTTTATATCTTTCTCCCATTGTGATTCCTCCTCTATCTCAGTTAATTTTAAGGGGAGAAAGGACAGTCCACTGACAGGGGTAGTAGCCTCCTCCCCTATACCAGTGGTTCTTAACCTTTGTTACTCGGATGCTTTTGAACTGCAACTCCCAGAAACCCCAGTCAGGACAGCTGGTGGTGAAGGCTTCTGGGAGTTGCAGTCCAAAACTCCTGAGTAACCCAAGGTTAAGAACCAGTGCCCTATACCTAGTAAAAATACGTTCACGTAGACCATAAAGTATTTATTTTTTGCTTTATTTCACTTCAAACCAGCCAAAAGGATTGGCACCAAACAAAGTGCTACTCCATTCACAGATCTGCAACATATTTCCAGGGCACACATATTATTCAGAAATGAGCCTCACTTAGTTCTGTGTGACTTACTCCTAGGCTGAGCTGTAGAGAACTGCACTCCAAAGTAATAAAACTAATAAAATATCTCAGGCTGCTTTCTGGAGATGAATAGCAGCACAGAGAGAGAGTGTGTGTGTAAAACCAAATCTCTACTGCTGAAACCTGCGCAATATAAGGGAGAAGTATACAGTATATATTAAAAAGTTGCCAAGCAACAGATAAGTATATAACAACTAACCATAGGATTTCAATGATTTGTGCAATCACATTTTTGAAAGTGTATCTTATATCTAGTATTTTGATATGTCAAGTTTTCCATTTATAATAAAGTTGTATGAACAGATTCCTGGCTCTGCCTGCATGAAAGTTTATTAAACTACTTATCGAAAATAACCCAAAAACACAAGCAAACGAAACCCAACAAAAGGTGTAGTTTTGCAATTTATTTTATATTTAACAGTTCAATAAGCTTTTTCCATATAGATGCGTATAAGTGATAAAGGGCTAACTGTATTTGTACTCCAGAACTTTTTATTTTACTGTTTATTTAGGTTGCAACCACAGGCCTATTCAACAAAGCCAACCAACACTGTTGCTTGGTGTACACATTATAAATCACTTCTTTTCATCTTCAAATTTGGGTTCTGTACGGGAGGAAAAACTGGGGTCAGTTTATTTGGAGCAAAGTGTTTTCTAAACAGTTTTACAACTTGATTCAACAATACTTTACCAGAATTTAATTCCCATTTAATGGGAGTTATTTCTAGTTGCAACCTTAGCTTTCTACCTCTGAAACTTCTTCCCACAGTTGATAGTAACCTTTTACTTTATTCATTATGGCTTGCTTACTGTATACAATGACATTTAAATTTTTGTAGGTACAGAGCCAGCAAGCACTCATCCTTTTCAGTGCATGCTGCAGATGACTAAACTTCAGTAAATTAGGAATTGTGCAAAAGCAATGCTTGCTGGGCTGCTTCTGATGCAAGTTGCTACCACATCTAAAAATCAGCAAATCATTTTGCTAGGGACATCGACAGAGATTAATGCAGGAATACGTACATGTATATAAAAAGTGTTTTTGCGTGCATGCATGTACACATGTATTATCTACATCAGATTTAACATTGGGTCCTCTTTGTCAAGTACATACTCAAAAGTACTACTAATGTACTACAAAATATTTTGGGGTGATATCCTTAATATGCTACAAGGATCCCACTGAAGTGTGTGGGGTGTTAGATTTGATGACACCTAGGAAAATGCCTATAAGCAGTCCATAAACTTCACAACAATCAAATTACCGCATATCAGTTCTACAGAACAAAACTAGTGGTTAACAAATGTCTCAAAGCTCACCTTCAAATTTGAAATCTGGAAATTTGTTCACATCTCCACCACCGTATAACCGTTGAAGCTTAGCAATTTGTTCATTCATATTTTTCTCATATTCAGGGCCAACATCAACAGGGCCACCAGTTTTCCTACAAAGGCAAGAATGTATGTCCTAAATAATACTGTGCCTGGAATGATAAAAGCTTGAGCAACTATTTGTTTGAAGATTATTCCTAAACAGAATAACATAAATTGTTTAGAAACAAACATACAATAAAATCTCACAAAATTTCAGTTTCAACTGATGGTTTTGCATGTGGAAAAGGAGTACAGCTAATGCTAGCAACATGCAATTTCTGTTTCTGCATCCTAGGGATGGGGAGTTCCAGAGTCAAATGGCTAATTCTTTAGTCCCAGGTCTCACTACTGGTTATACCAAATCTAAACATCTGAGAAAGAGGATTTACAGTTTCTAGTATTCTAATTCTGGAGTTGTTTGGAGTTTTTTGAGAAGGCCTGCAAATCATTTTATGACAAACACTCTGTTCCTGGAGAAATGCAGAAAAAAATTACTCCCCCCTTTTGCCCCCAGTTTTCATCTGGGGTGTTTGAGGGAAACAAGAGTCTCAAAACGAATGAGGGGGCACAAGCTACCCATCTGCATCACTTTGTTTATTTTTGTTGTAGAGAGCAATCTGGTTTTACAGTTATATGATTTCATCTACCCCAAGATCTCCCTTCCAAACATGATTTCTCCACTTTCTCTTGGGTTTATGAGCATCTAAAAGATAACACTAAGCATACCAAAGCCTCACAAAGCAAAGTAGTAGACCAGATATTTTCTTTTGGAGAGCAGTCATCTGATGTTACAATAGCTTATAAGAAAAGAAAAAATCTTGAACAATGGAGGCATAAGGGCTGTTTTGCCCAATTGCTTAGGAGTTTTAGTGTGAGAGAAATGCGAAAAAGAATCCTTAACATGTTGAGAAAATTTATACCCCATGCCTGTTCACTGTCTATTGGTAGAAGGCTTGAAAAATATCCTACAACAATTAAATATGGATAACACAATTTGTTTATTTTTAAAATTGCTTTACCTCTTTTTTATGGACTTGATCCACTGCATCCCATAAATAATTTCTGTCATTGACTATTGATATCGTTTTTTGTTTGTTTCACAGTATAATTTCCCAACAGAAAAGTGCAAACAATTTTGGTTGCTGCTGAAGACAGTACAGTATGATACTGCATTTCTTGACTGGATATGCTCATTTAACACCATTATATTCTGTTTTTAACTGAAGGATATTCAAGGCTACTAACAATAGATTATTCAATTCTATATACAGCTACAGTGTAAAGATTTCAGAGGACACAGGCTGGATACAGCCATACTTGGAATAAACCTACTGAATTCAATGAATTTTAGTAAGCGGAAGAATGATTAAATCTGAATTCATTCAAACTATATTAAAACTGTTTTCTAGTTCTGTAAAGTACTTAATAAAATCATAGAAAAGTGAAGTTGGAAGGGGCCTACAAGGCCATCCCCTTGCTCAATGCAGAAATACAATCAAAGCATACCTGCCAGGTGATTATCTACATTTTTCTTGAATGCCTCCAGTGTTGGAGCAGTCACCAACTCCTGAGGTAACTGATTCCACTGTCGTACTGCTCTAACAGGAAGTTTGTCCTGATATTCAACCGAAATCTGGCTTCCTTTAACTTGAGCCCATTGTTGCGCGTCCTGCACTATGGAATGACCAAGAACAGATCTTGCCTCTCCTCTGTATGACAGCCTTTCAAATATTTGAAAAGTGCTATCATAACACCCCTCAGTCTTCTTTTCTAAAGGCTAAACATGCCCAATTCTTTCAGCCTTTCTCATAAGGCTTGGTTTTCCAACCCCCTGATAATCCTTGTCGCCCTCCTCTGAACTTGTTCCAATTTGTTAGTTTGCTTGTTTGTTCAGTCGTTTAGTCGTGTCCGACTCTTCGTGACCCCATGGACCAGAGCACGCCAGGCCCTCCTATCTTCCACCACCTCCCGGAGTTGTGTCAAATTCATGTTGGTTGCTTCGATGACACTGTCCAACCATCTCATCCTCGGTCGTCCCCTTCTCCTCTTGCCTTCACACTTTCCCAACATCAAAGTCTTTTCCAAGGAGTCTTCTCTTCTCATGAGATGGCCAAAGTACTGGAGCCTCAGCTTCAGGATCTGTCCTTCCAATGAGCACTCGGGGTTGATTTCCTTTAGAATTGATAGGTTTGTTCTCTTTGCAGTCCAGGGAACTCTCAAGAGTCTCCTCCAGCACCACAATTCAAAGGCATCAATTCTTCGGCGGTCAGCTTTCTTTATGATCCAGCTCTCACTTCCATACAACACTACAGGAAAAACCATAGCTTTGACTATTCGGACTTTTGTTGGCAAGGTGATGTCTCTGCTTTTTAAGATGCTGTCAAGGTTTGTCATTGCTTGCCTCCCAAGAAGCAGGCGTCTTTTAATTTCGGGGCTGCTGTCTCCATCTGCAGTGATCATGGAGCCCAAGAAAGTAAAATCTGTCACTGCCTCCATATCTTCCCCTTCTATTTCCCAGGAGGTGATGGGACCAGTGGCCATGATCTTAGTTTTTTTGATGTTGAGTTTCAGACCGTTTTTTGCACTCTCCTCTTTCACTCTCATTACAAGGTTCTTTAATTCCTCCTCACTTTCTGCCATCAGAGTGGTATCATCTGCATATCGGAGGTTGTTGATATTTCTTCCGGCAATCTTAATTCCAGTTGAACCAATCCGTTGTTCCATATCCAGTTCTAACTGTTGCTTCCTGTCCCACATATAGGTTTCTCAGGAGATGGATAAGGTGGTCAGGCACGCCCATTTCTTTTAGGACTTGCCATAGTTTGCTGTGGTCCACACAGTCAAAGGCTTTTGCATAGTCAATGAAGCAGAAGTAGATGTTTTTCTGGAACTCTCTGGCTTTCTCCATAATCCAGCGCATGTTGGCAATTTGGTCTCGAGTTCCTCTGCCCCTTCGGAATCCCGCTTGTACTTCTGTGAGTTCTTGGTCCACATACTGCTGAAGCCTACCTTGTATGATTTTGAGCATAACCTTGCTGGCGTGTGAGATGAGTGCAATTGTCCGGTAGTTGGAGCATGGATTGCTGCCTTGGATTGCTGCCTTCATGGATTGCTGCCTTGTCGTGTCGAGGGGGCCTGAGTAACTCAGAGAAGCTATGGGCTATGCCGTGCAGGGCCACCCAAGACGGACAGGTCATAGTGGAGAGTTCTGACTAAACGCAATCCACCTGGGGTAGGAACCGGCAATTCCACTCCAGTATCTTTGCCAAGAATGCCCCATGATCAGAAACAAAATTTGTTAGTATCCTTCTTGAAGTATGGTGTCCAGAACTGGGCACAATACTCAAAGTGAGGGGTACTAGCACCTTGCGGGATTTATACTTCTATTAATGCAGCCTAAAACAGCATTTGCCTTTTTGTAGCCACATCACACTGTTGGCTCATACTTACCACCATCGCTGCTGTTTTCCAGAGGAAATAGCTTCCCTCCAAGAACTAAGGTGCTAAGATAATCCAAACATATAATGGCTGAAGTCCTGTTGCCTGGTTTTGTAAACTGCTCTAGAATAAGCCACTGAATCAGTGAGAATCTGGTGAGTCAATTCCTAAGCAAGTTCCATTGATTCAAATGGGCCTACTCTAGTTGCAACTTACTAAAGTAAGTTAGTATATTACTAAAATTAACTCATAATTAAATCAGACCCATTTAAATCAATGAAATCTGCATAGCAGTTGTCTCACAAATCCCCACTGATTCAGTGGGTCCATTCTAGTGTAACTAGAATGTAACATTCTGGTGTAACTTTTGCTAAACAAAAGCATTTCTGCCCTTACATTAACTATATTACATTAACCTAACTTTTTCTCCACTGAATTTTAGACTACAGAAACTGCTTAAACCATTAGTTACATGGGTCATATTTGGGCCATGCTTTGAATCCAAAGATTTCTGTAGTTAACACTTTCCATATGACACATAATGTGAAAACTTTCCATTATACAAAAGCAACTGAAATGAAAAAATGCAATTATGTACACAGACATCCCACAGAAGTCTCAATACTATTGGGAACAAAGTACTACTATGGTATTTTGAAGGAGAAACTTAAAAAAGAAAGAAAACAACCATCAACAGGGAACTTGAAGGGCTGATACCTGAATGTTTGACATTCATGACTCTTGTTTACTTACTGGCTCTTTGTGTTATATTCTCTGATCTTGTCCAAGAAGAGTTTCTGCACAGGATCAAGTTCTTTTGCCTTATTAAACACAATGGCAGAAAAGCCAATGTTTCTACGCAGATGAATGGAGATTGTGGAATGGAAAATTGAAGAAAATCTGAAGAGATGCTGGAGAACCATGGTGAATTTGAAGATAGTTTAGCTAGAATGACAAAGTGTGCATTAGTTATATTGCAACTGTGTGGCACGTGCCCTTTTAAGTCTCTAATAATCTGAAACTAGCTGAAAATGGCTAGTTTCAAATTCCATTTTACTGTGAGTTCAGACTAGTCTTTAAAAAACAAGGCTTTCTATGCTGAAACTCCAAAGCCATGGTTATGCAGTTTGCTGTAATCAAACATTCCACAAAGATGTACTGTAATATGTTCTTTCAGGTTTCTTCTATACTGAATTGCATTAGCAATTCCACCAAGCTTCAGTAAAAAGGAAAAGACAGTGCAGTGATTACATCAGTTTTGACAAGAAACCATCTACCTCTTGCTATGCCATTCTAGGCTACCTGAACTGCTTCCATCTCATTTGGCTATTACCACAACTAAAAGAATTAATGAGAGTTTTTTCTCCTCCTCCACAACACTCTTTCTGTGTTCTCTGAGCATGTAAGCTGAGAGAAGGTGAAATGTTGCCTTTTTCCTTGAATTTAAGAAACTCTGGAACTCTTTAGCTGAAGAGCAGGGATTTTTCTTTCAAGATGCTCTTCAAGAATTCTGTCTGGAACCAACATTATTGAGCACCTGCTGAGATCCATGGCCAACATGCTGCTGCTTCTGCTCCTTGTCCCTTTTCCCCATTCATTTATCCTCTCCAGAGAATGAAGACAGCCACAAGGAACAGAAGTCATGTCCTCTGCTTACAATGTCCTCTCTTTTTTTTGGGGGGGGGAGTACAAATTAGTCCCAGAAGGCAAGGACAAGTCGATCAAACGTGGTGACATGAACAATGAGGACCATCACTCTATTCTCAAGGATACGGACAGGAACAACCTCTCACCCATCTCCTCTCCTCCAAATAACAAAACGTCTTCGTGATCTGCTCCTGCTGAGGAGATTCATCCCCTGCCACCCTGGACCTTTCTGATTATTCCATCAAGCCCTCTACTAACCACGCTACCTCCTTCTCCAATGCTCAACCTGCGGCTGTCGACCACTTGGAGCCGGGGAAGAAAATCCAGGACAGCCTTCCATCCTTCTGAGTTCAGTGAACTGACTCCCAAGCTCTTGGCGGGAGGAGAAGACACGTGTAGCCTGCATAACTAACTTGTAAACTGCCCCGAGTACATTACGGGCTAAGGGGCAGTATATAAGCAGCAGATTCGTTGTTTTGCACTAGCAAATGCCCCCTTGACCTGCCACGTCACCCCTCACGTTTACAACGTTTCCCCTCACATTTCGCACAGCAACTCAACTAATTCAAAGGTGGGTCGAGGGAGTGTGTGTGTCAAACGGGGCGGCGGGGTATCCACAGACCGACAACCCGAAGCGAGCGAGCACCGAAGAAAGGTCCCGTTAAAACCCCTCCGTCCCTCGCCGAGGCTCTTTTCCCCTCCTCACGGCCAGGGCCTCCTTCCTCTCCCTTCTCCTCTGCAAAGCCACCGGTCGGTCACCTTGCTCCAGACGAGGAGCCTACAGCAGCCCCGCCTCCCAAGAGCGCAATGCTTTTCGGGAGCTTCGTTTTGAAACCGCTCCCCAACCCCCAATCTGCTGTTTTGTCTAAAGGCAGGCCCCTCTCCGCCGACCGACTCACCGCGCAGAGCCACGGACCACTTCCCACGGCTCTTTCCTCAAGAGACCACAACAGCTCCCCTGAAGCCTGTAGAAGGGGGAGAACTCGCTCCTGCCACCGGAAACGGTGAGGTTCACTTCCGGTTCCAATGAGGCGGGTAGAAAGAGCGACAAACTTTGAGTTGCACTGAAGCGCGGGGCTCGGGAGGGGGCGGTAGATTCGCAAGGGATGCCGGGAGTTGTAGTTTTTGTCCCTGTGCGGGGGGGATCGTCTGTGCGCTTTTCCCCCGCCAGGGCCCCGCGCGCAGGCCTCGCCGCCCGCCTCGGAGTGCATTGAGGGCTTTTCTTTTCCCCCTCCCTGGAGGGACCTCTCAGGTCTTCGGGGAGTTGGATCTGGCCGCTGAAGTAAAAGAGAAAGCGGCGGGCGCTGCTCCGCTCGCCCGCGGGGGCTGGTTTGTTTCTGTGGCGAGAGTCCGAGACTGAGGCGGCGGCGGCGGCCGGTGAG